GTGCCGGTTGAATGGTTTGGGGCAGACTGCCCCTGCCCCAGCCCCAGGGAGGGGTCAGTCACACTTGGTTCAGAAAAGTTCCCCAGTGGAGTGTATCGAATGGGTTGGAGGCAGTGAGGTTAGTCAGCTGAGGAGTGGGGCCTGCCCAAATGCAGGAGAGGCAGGAGGGGCCAAGCTGCGGGTGAGAGCAGGGAGGGTGGACAGAGATGGGTATTATAGAGCTGCTGTAGCTTTGGTTATTGACGGAGGATTAGGGTGACTCCCGGTTTTGGAAAAGCCAGTCAAGGCAGAGATGCCACATTCCTCCCTGCTCCTCGGAGAACAGCAGAGACCACCACCCTGAGGGACGGCCCCAACCCATGCCCTCAACTCCCCACAGGCTCCCCACGTCCCCCACAGAGTGCTGGCCCTGCTGCCTGCCTCCCGAATGGCAGGCGGCAGCTTCATCCGGGAGGCTCACCTGACATAGAAGTATGGAGGTGAGATCCTCGGCAGCTAGTTGGGCCTCTCTGGGTCTTGTCAGGTGGGCTCCACAGGCAGCCCCCAAAGGGCACCCGGAGAAGGCTTGGAAGAGGGAAAGAGGGACAGGCCATCCCAGCAAACCCATGTAAAATAGCCAGGCTCCTTCCCCAGAGGCAATGCCATACAAGCAGACATCTCCCAAGTGCTTAGCTAACTTCTCCCAAATGCTCACATTCACGGACGGGATGCAACCTTGGAGGGCTTCATCAGGGCCACCAGACACCGGTGCAGAGGACACACCTAGCTTGGGGGCACAATGGGGGCATTCAGGAAGGTTGGGGCTATTTCAAGGAGCCCAGAGAAGTGGGGAGAGGTCTGCAGACTTGAATTTGAGCCCTCTCCTCCTGGCTGGGCTACTCTGGACCATGGCCTTAACTGCTCCAAGCCTGTGTACTCCTCTGCAGAATGAGGGTAGCAATATACCCTCACAGGGCTACAGGGAACGTTCCATAAGGTGCCATGAACCGTTCTCCTGGCCCCATTCTCAGCACACAGCCAGGAGTGCTTACGGTCCTTACCATCCACCTTGGTCATTGCCAGTGAGGGCCTGACTGCCCAGCCCAAGGACAGGGCCAATCCTGCAGGCAGACCTGATTCCAGCAATCCCCGCTGGCAGCACATCAGAGCCCCCTGGGCCAGCCCTCCTCAATCTGTGCACCGTAGGGCTGTAGCCTTTGATTCCGTGGGGCTTGGCCTGTTCTATTTTTATAAAGCTCCTCAGTAGATGGGAAAACACAGCTCAGGTTCTGAGAGAAAGAGAGTGCTAGGCCTTGTCTGTGGGGTGAGGGGGTTCCACATTCAAGCCTGGCCAGGAGCTCTCAAGACACCCCCTCCACCCCCTGACCCCCAAGAGGGCTTGTGCAGAGGGCTGGGGGTATCCCAGGGGTTCAGCTATTGGGCTTCCATAGCCCTGAGGTGGGGCTGCTGCCGTGTAGTCTGGCTCTCTGAGCACCCACTCCCATCTTCACTCGCTCTATTTCCATCGCTTGGGACAGATGGCAGGAAGCAGAGGTGGGCGTTGTTTTGTGCAGGCCCCAAGGATTTAAGACCAGGAGGCTCTGGGGAGGGTCGCTTCTGTCCCTTTCCCTGGGCACTGACAGATGCAGGCCAGGCAGCTTGCAAAATGCCCACAATGCCCAAGTTCATGTCCCCGTGAACTTGCACACACATAGCAGTGGGGCAGGAAAGGGGAAAGCTGACTGTGTCAGCCACCCAGGGGCTTCCTCCAGCTTCCCATCGGCAAACTTCTCTTGTCCCTCTCTCCATCCTCTGGCTCTCCTTGGTCAATGAAAAATATTGACATCATCACTCCTGCTATTCATTCCAGGATGCAGGGGATGGTGGAGGAGCTCATTTGTGATATCTGGAAGGTTGGTGATACTGTCCCCAGGAAAATAAGGAGGCTGGGGCACCAGGTGGAGTCCTGGTCGCATAGTGACGATGAGGTGGGTTATAACTGCAAGGTCAGAGGCCAGAAACCACCAGCCACCCCACGAGAGAAAGATGGGGCTTTCTTCTCCTGTAAAGAGTGACCGTCTCAGAGAGCCACAGGGGCTGCTCTAGCCTGTCTTACACGGTTGCTATGCTGTGGCATTGACTTAATAGTAGTGAGTGAGGGCACCAGGTGGATCCCTGGTGGCATAGCCACAAGGTCAGCAGTTAGAAACCACCAGCTGCTCCCCTGGAGAAAGATGAGGCTTTCTATTTTGATAAAAAGTTTTAGTCTCAGAAACCCAAAGGGCCAGTTCCTCCCTGGCCTGCAGGGTCGCTCTGAGTTGGAATCCACTCAACAGCAGTGAGGGTTTTGTTTTGAGAGTACCAGGAGCTAAAGGACTTAGCTGAGACACTCAGCTAGTGACTGACCGAGCTGGGATCTGGCTGAGGCTGGTGGCTGGGAGGTGCAGTGCTATCAGGTCTTGGGCCCCCATCCCTTCCTGGCCAGGGTCCTTCACTACCATGGGGTGGGCAGCAGGGCTGTGACAGGCTATGGATGCACATGCACATGTGTGGAGGTACTTAAGGGCAGATCGGCCACATGGCACTTGGGGAGGTGGCTTCCCCTTGACCCTCAGTCCCCTGGATCTCTGATGTCCACCCTGCACTAAGTCATCACAGAGCCCTGAGTTCAGGTGAGATCCTGGAAGAAGCTACAGGCATACCTCTGGCCCAGCAGGAGGGACTGCAGCCCAGGGAGGGCACAGACAAGGTCCAAGCTCAGAGTCAACAAGGCAGAGCTGGGGCTAGAATGGCCCAGAGTGCCCTTCGGGTAAGAAGATCTTAGACTGGGGCCAGAACCTGTTGAGGCATGGGATGTGGCATCAGTAGACAGGGGACCCATGGTCCTCATGGTGGGCTGGGGTGTAGGCAGAGCCCAGGTCCGTGAAGAGCTGCAGCCTCTCAGAGGCAAAGCTCTACCTGATGGAGGGGACAGATAGGGCCAAGATCAGAGTGGAATGCTGAGCCAGTTGGGGGTCTGAGATCGAGGACATAGTCCTGCCTGAGCTGAGCCAGATGGGGGTCTGAGGTCCTGGTCACACTCCCCCCCTCAGCCATCCCTACGCCCTGCCAGCTCGCAGGTCCCCTTGGCTCCCACCCTGTCCCATGGCAGCTCTGCGGTGTGCTGGGCTGGGGGCTGATCACAGCTGACAGATGCACCTGTTCTGGGAAACATCAGTCAGCTGGGGATGGGTGCGGATGGGGGAGGGCTCCAGTGACTCACCACCGCCTGCTGTCCCCACCTGGCTCCTTCCTGCCTGGGCTCTGGGGGCAGAAGACAGGGCCTTGCCAACTTCTCTCCCTTTTCTTTCTCTCCGCTGGAGACTCAGAGGCCTTGCAGTGGCCCCTGGGGTGGTGCTCCAGCCTGGTGTTGCCTGGAGGTACGCAGAGTGCAAGCACCTTCCCTCTGTGCCCTGCCAATGTCTCCACAGGGCTTCCAAGCCCATCGCCTCTCTTGGTGCTCCGGGCACCCCTGCAAGATGGACCAGGTGGGGGGGCCACTGTGGGAGGACCTCTGGGGCAGATGCTTTAGGCAGCTTGAATACAGTGACAAGCCTGCATATCCTCCCTCAAGGGGGAAATAGAGTCAGGGATCCATCCCTCTCAGGGCGGGAGAGAGGCAGCAAGATGCTAGGCCAGCAGCCCGTCAGTCTTCATGATTCACAAAGCAAAAGCAAATAAGCCAAGCCCAGAACCAGCTAACTCACTCAGACCCACTGCCATCCAGCCAACACTCGCTCATAATGACCCCCCTGGGTGAGGGGGGTGTCCCATGACTGCAACTGTTCATGGGAGTAGACAGCCTCTCTTTTTCTCCTGCGGAGCTTTCGAACCTCTACACCACCATGGCTCGCCTCAATACGATTCCAACTCATGGGGCCCCTGTGTGGGTGGGAGGCTCTTGACTGGCTGTGGTCTTCTGCAGTACCTCCGGTTGGATCTGAACTGGCAACCTCTGGGTTAGTAGTTGACAAGCTATGTGCATAGTTGAGCACACAAGGGCCATTTGCAATTGCTTAGCCACTTACAACACCGCTGCCACCACCCCCAAGGAAGTCCCCTTACAAGACCCTGATTTGATTTTGGGTCCTCTGGGCCCCTTTGCCTGCACTTCCTAGCAGGGGCCTCTCAGCCCTCCATCGCCCTGGAGACGTTGGGGACTGTGCGGGGTCGCCTCAGACTGGGACTAGAGTTGGGGGTGTAGAGTGAGCCCACGGAGAGAGGGCGGTCAGAGAGCCAGCAGCCCTCCGAGCCTGCCTCTCTCCGACGGACAGACATCTGCCCGAGGGAGAAGCGCAGGCAGCTGCGAAACCAGCATCACTGGGCGCTTGGCTCCCGCAAGCCAGACCTAATTCCGGTGCCGCTTCTGGCTTCCAAAGCGAGACTGTCTGAGCAGGAGGGCCGCTTGTGGGAAGTTGGGACAGATTTAACCCTCTCCTGGGCTTCCGTTAATTTTCCTCTCCCTCTCTCTTCCTCTCGGAATCATTCTTTATCTTCTTCCCATTCCCACCACTCCACCGTGGGACATCTGTTTTTCAATCTCTCTCTCCAGCAACTACCCAACAGCCCCGAGACAGGCGACTGTTCACCTGTTAGGGGTCTCTGAGCTCTTTTCCATGTGTGTTGTCATTAATTCCTTGACTGACCCAGGAAAGGATGCCTTCACCAGTCAGCCTCCAACAACGCTGCCTTCCCGCGATCAGCATCACCGGCGGCCTCGGGGGCCTTAAATGAGCAGGGCCAGCCCCGGGGATGACTCCGAGCGCCCCCGCGGTCCGGCTCCATAAACACGCGAAGTCTCTTCCATCCAAAGAAGGACTCAGAGCCCAGCCTCCAGCCCGGACACGCAACACTTCCCTACCCCAAAGCAACCCGAGAGATGAGGGGGCCCATCTAAGGAAGAGGTGCAACAAGGCTCCCTGGGTCCAGGGCAACTTCTAGGAGCCCTGCTCCCCACCCAGGGGAGCCCCGCGGGTGCCTACCTTTGCCCGCTGCATCCTGGGCGCTGCAGGGGACTGTGGCTGGCCTCTCCCTTCGCGGCCAGCAGAGGGGAACAGGACTGCTGGCTGGCAGCTGCCTCATGTTTGCGGGGACCCAGACGTAATTGTCAGTGGCAGCTTCTCGCCCGCCCCCTGCCCACCCTTCCCTCCCGCCCAGCTTGCCTGCTTCTAACTGTTCTGCCCCTCCATCCCTCCTGCCCTCGCTCACGCGCGCGCGCTCTCTCTCTCTCTCTCTCTCCCCTTCTCCCCTCCCTCCCTCCCTCTCCTCATCCCCAGGCACACACATATTTACCCCCATAGTTTCAGTTGTCTCCCTCTCTCCGTACTGTCGGTTCTCAGTCCTGACCTCGCAGCCTTTCAAAGTCCCTCTGGCTGGCTCTCCGCTCGCTCTGCTGTGCTAAGTGTCTCTCTCTCAGTGCCTTTCCCTTCTTTCAACCCCCCCTACGCGCGCACACACACTGCTCCTCCTCTCTCCTCTTAATCACACCCCCTGGGGGGCTGGGGGGTGCAGGGGGCTCCAGGGCACATGTCCCTGCCCCAACAGGGGTGAGCACAGGCAGCAGTCCAGCCTGGGGACCCTCTGAAGGGCATTTTCCAGAACAACCACACCCTCCTCTACTCTTTGCCCCACCCTCTGAAGGTCCCCAGGGCAACTGGGAGCCAGTGAGGTTCAGACAGGGGCATAAGTGTCTCCCCCATGTTCCACCACCCTCTGGCCACCTCTGGTGTCAGGAGCACCCCCCTAATGGGGACCTTCCTGTGGGTGTCCGGCCCCCTAATGGCCTAGAAGGTGGGGGCTACCTGTCCAAAGAGGGCACTGGCCACCAGGAGCCACAGCACTGGGACGGTGCTCAGGTCTTGGGAGGCTGAGCTGGCCCAGACCTGGGTCCTTGGCCAGATCCCTCTCTGGACGGCCAAGGGCCCACCGGTCTCCTGCAGGGGCTGTGGAGGAAGGTGGCAGGCCCGGCCATGGCGGGGAGAAGCCGTCCGCCAGGCTCTGCAGAAGGACAGCCTCTTGGACATGTGCTCAGTCCCTAGGGGAACCACCCAGGAGCCAGGTGCCCTGCAACCTCCGCCAAGTTTCCCTTTGCAGTGCCCGGAGGAGCCAGCCTGTGCCAGCGGTTCCCATGGAAACAGAGCCCTGCGACACCCCTCCCCCACACTGCGCGCATGGGAGCCTGAGCGCACACATACCCATCTCGCTCTCTTTCTCTCTCTCTCCCCAGCCAGTTGGCTCCAACTTTCAGACCCTTCAGGGGGAGACAGTCCAGGGTTGTGGACCCACTGAGGCAGAGGAGGAGGCGGGCAGCCAGGGGGGTGGGTGGGGTGGTAGGCAGCAGTTGACCCAGCTAGATGTCCAGGAGAGGACTCCCAGCCCAGGGTATACAGTGAACCCTCGTTTATCGCGGTTAATCGGTTCTAGACCCCACTGTGATAAATGTAATTCAGCGAAGTAGGATTCCTTATTTGTAAATCAAATATTTTC